TAAGCCCTAAACCCTAAAACCCTAAAACCCTAAACCCTAAACCCTAAACCCCTAAAACCTAAACCCCAAACTAAACCCTAAAACCCTAAACCCTAAAACCCTAAAACCTAAACCCCAAACTAAACCCTAAAGCCCTAAACCCTAAACCCCTAAAACCTAAACCCCAAACTAAACCCTAAAGTCCTAAACCCTAAACCCCTAAAACCTAAACCCCTAAAACCTAAACCCCAAACTAAACCCTAAAGCCCTAAACCCTAAACCCCTAAAACCTAAACCCCAAATTAAACCCTAAACCCAAACCCTAAACCCCAAACCCTGAACCCCAAACCCTGAATCCTAAACCCTAAAGACTAAAACCCTAAACCCCTAAACCCCTAAAACCTAAACCCCAAACCTTTGAGGATTGGTGTTGCAGCTATCAGCTCCTCGCCTGCGAGGATGAGCCGGGGCCGCAGGGCCGGAGCGGAGACGTCGGGGCTTTAGGGTTCCTTTAACGCTAAACCCTAATTGGGTTAAGGGTTTTAGGGTCTAGGGTTTTAGGGTTTAGGGTTTAGGGTTTAGGGCTTTGAGTTTGGGTTTAGGGTTTAGGGGTGTAGGTTTTAAGGGTTTAGGGTAGTCAGGGTGTTTTGTCTTTCTTTGTTCGGGTGTTCCTCCTAGGTGCTCTTCAAAAGGACCCCGTAAGGGTTACCACAAGGGGTATTGGAGTAGTTTTTTGGGGTACCTGTTCCTTAAAGGAAGAATTCTGAAAAAAGTCTACGCTTATTCGCCCTTGTTACTTCAAAGTCCAGTCTCTTTTTTTCGGAAGAACCTTTGAAGGGCACTGCGGGGTTCTAACTCTGTAAGCTACTCGTATCTACAAGGGTTTTAAGAGGTGGCTTCAAGGTTCCTTTTTAAGGGCTCTTCCTTAAACCCTAAACCCCGAAGTCCGAGGGTTCCTTTATTCATAATTGGTATAGTGTTCCTTTCAATTTTGGGTTTCTTTAAGGGTTTAGGGTTTAGGGCTCTTTTCAAGCATCCTCTGGGGGTCGCTGTAGGCGGTTTAGGGCAAAGGGTTTAGGGGTATACGGACCCCACTTGAAGGTTTGGGATCTTTTCCAGGGTACTGCAGGGCTCTATAAAAGGGTGCCTTACAGGGCTCTATATGGGATCTTAAACCCTAAACCCTTTCAGGTGATTAGCAGCTCCCTAAACCCTAAACCCTAAACGCAGGGCTTAGAGCATTAGGGTTTAGGGTTTAGGGTTCAGGACCGGAGCAGAAAGTTGGAACGTCTAGGACGATTAGTGCGAGGATTCCCTATGCTGTAATATAGGGGCCTAAATAATTACCAGTACTATTTTGGGCGGGGCTCCTTATTATAATTAAAGTATAATGAGCCCCAAAAGCCTATTCTAAATATTAAGGCACTACGTTACCTTACTGGCATTAGGATAGCATGTGTTATGTTCCTTCCACTCTAATATTGACGCCTTCATATTAGAGAGTTTCATGAGCGCCAGTGAGCGGTTCAGAGGTCATGGCATTCTGCAACCCTAAACCCTAAAACCTAAACCCTAAACTTGACAGAAGAGCCAAAGATGATCTTCAAAACCTGTCGCCTGCCAGACCCGTACACAACGCTTTGCACAGGGCCAAGCCTTTAGGTTCAATCCCTTGCGGTCGATAGCTTGAAGCTTAGGGTGATGGGTTTAGGGTTTTGGATGACGGGTTATGGCGTTGTGCAACGTTTTGGTGTTTCGGGTAGACTGAGGGGCTTGCAGAACTCATCTCTTCACAGAAGGTTAGCTCTTGTCCAGACATCTGAGGCCGAAGGAAGTCAGAATGCCAGCAGACGTTGCCTAGGAAACAGCACCTGCTTTCAAAATGTCGATTACTGTGGAAGTCGGACTGCTCAGCGGCAGAACGGCTACCTTGCAAGCCGGCTTAGATGAAGAGGTAAATGTCTTAACACGTCAAGCACAGACCATCTTCGGAGTCGGGAACGGGCGGCTCCTGGACTCATCCAGAAACTTGGCGTTCTTCTGGTTGGCTCTGAGGGCTTTAACTTTTTGGGATCCTATATAAGCTACAACACGGAGGCTCCCACTTTTAGCCAGAGACTCCAACATCATTGAATTAAGGAATATACCTTAAAGTATAGTAGGATCCCTAATATGATTTCAGGTATATTCCTTAATTGAGGGGTTTTGGAGCCTCTGGGTAGGAGGGGTTCAGAAGTCAGCCAAGGAAATGTTCTGGATCCGCGTCTGCCAATCAGGAAAGCCGGAGTTCAGACCGGCGACTCGCTCACGTTGCACATACATCAAGTTCAACTTCAAGGCTCTAGACATTCTAGAGACCCTGAAGGCGGCGCTTTTGCTGCCATTCTCCGTGACGGATCTGTCGTGACCTGGGGTGATGCTCGCTATGGTGGTGACAGTAGTGCTGTGCGGGATCAGCTGACGAATGTGCAGCAAATCCAAGCCTCAAACGGCGCTTTTGCTGCCATACTTGGTGACAGATCCATTGTGACTTGGGGCAGTGCTTGGTCTGGCGGGGACAGTAGTGCAGTGAATGATCAGCTGAAGAATGTAGAGCAGATCCAAGCCACTCGCCTCGCTTTTGCTGCCATTCTGGGTGATGGATCCGTCGTGACATGGGGTCATGCTAGCTTTGGTGGTGACGCTGGCGCTGTGCAGGATCAGCTGACGAATGTGCAGCAAATCCAAGCCTCAAACGGCGCTTTTGCTGCCATTCTTGGTGATGGATCTGTAGTGACCTGGGGTGCTGCTGGCTTTGGCGGTGACAGTAGTGCAGTGAAGGATCAGCTGAAGAATGTAGAGCAGATCCAAGCCACTCGCCTCGCTTTTGCTGCCATTCTTGGCGATGGATCCGTCGTGACATGGGGTCATGCTAGCTTTGGTGGTGACAGTGCCGCTGTGCAGGACCAGCTGAAGAATGTGCAGCAGATCCAGGCCACAGAGCACGCTTTTGCCGCGATTCTTGGTGATAGATCCGTCGTGACATGGGGTGATATTGACTGGGGCGGCGACAGTGCTGCTGTGCAGGATCAGTTGAGGAATGTGCAGCAGATCCAAGCCAGTCACGGCGCTTTTGCTGCCATTCTTGGCGATGGATCCGTCGTGACATGGGGTGATGCTGACAACGGTGGTGACAATAGTGCTGTGCAGCATCAGCTGAAGAATGTGCAGCAGATCCAAGCCTCAAACGGCGCTTTTGCTGCCAGTCTGGGTGATGGATCTGTAGTGACCTGGGGTGCTGCTGGCTTTGGCGGTGACAGTAGTGCCGTGCAGGATCAGCTGACGAATGTGCAGCACATCCAAGCCTCCGTGGAAGCTTTTGCTGCCGTTCTTGGCGATGGATCCGTCGTGACATGGGGTCATGCTAGCTTTGGTGGTGACAGTAGTGCGGTGCAGGATCAGCTGAGGAATGTGCATCAGGTCCAAGCCACAAGAGACATTTTTGGCGGCGCTTTTGCTGCCATCCTTTGCGATGGATCTGTCGTGACCTGGGGTGCTGCTCGCTGTGGTGGTGACAGAAGTGCTGTGAAGAATCAGCTGGAGAATCTGCAGCTGTTCTAGTGGCAACGGATATATTGCAACCTGGGGTCATGCTGACTTCGGTGGTGACAGCAGCGGCCAAGACTCAACTAAAATTTCACTGTAAAGGATGTCTGAGCAGTGGCTAGGAAAGCAACGACAAAGCTTGAAACTTCAGAAAGTTTGAAAATCGTGTGGTGTTGGGCAGTGGTGTTTCAGCTCTACATGTTTGCAAGAGCGCATAAAGCGTGACCTTGGAATTCCACCCTCCCTGGCATCATGTCCCAAACACGAGAGTCTTACAAAGCCCTAAACCTGAACCGTAAAGCCTGAATCTGAACTCCCAAACATGAAGCGTCTCCAGGCCCAAAGCACCAAAAACACAATCATGTTCCTCGGTGTTGAAATCCCCCAAACAATTAACGAAACAGGGTCGACCACCCGCACCCTGGATTATAGGTTCGCTCGGGATCCGTCAAGCTAGATTGCAAGCACAGGATCTATAGAAACTGTGGCGGTGGAAGTGCGGTAGAGATTTGGTACTCACCGCTTTGCGCACTCAGCCCTGAATCCTTATGAAGGGTAGGATTATTTCGGGTCGAGGACCTTAAAGGATCATGAGACTTAGTACAGTAACTACTCATAATTGGCTCTAACCCCAGATATGGTAGCTATAACTTTATTTAGATAGGTTCGCTAAACCCTAAAAGCCCTAAACCCTAAACCCTGAGCCCTACAGAACAATAATAGTACCCTTCTAAAACCCTTGAGAAGCTTTATTTGCCAAGTCTCATGACGGTTTAGGGTTTAGGGTACCTGTATCGAACCCTTAGAGTACCCTTAAAGGAACGAGAAACCCCATGATTCTCCAAGTAGGTATGGCTTAAAGCCTTTAGGTTCAATCTCTTGGGGTCGATAGCTTGAAGCTCAGGGTGATGGGTTTAGGGTTTTGGATGACAGTTTTTGGAGTGTTGCGACGTTTTGGTGTTTCGAGTATACTGAGGGGCTTGCAGAACTCATCTCTTCACAGAAGGTTAGCTCTTGTCCAGACATCTGAGGCCCAGGTTGCTGCCTACAAACTCAAGCGCAATTACGCCCAGGATTAAAACCCTGCGCTCCAAACTCGAAACTGAGTGCTTTCCCAGCCCCGGCTTGGCACAATACAAATCCAGCGAATGTAAGCAATTCAATAGTAAGAAAATCCCTGACCGTGCCTAGATGATTATTGTATGACATACCCCAAAGCCCGATTCGAATTCTCGACTCTTCAGGCGATATACTACATGACGAAAGCTTGTTCATTGAATCAAACCATAATGCGAGCGGACATTGTCTATGATGCAGCACCGGCGTTGAAAATGTCGGTCACTGTGGAAGTCGGATTACTCAGTGGCCGAACAGCTGGCCCGCAAGCTGCCTTAGATGAGGAGGTAAATGATTTACCCTGAACAGTGTTCCCAGAGACTCCAATATCCCTTAATTAAGGAATATACCTGAAATCATATTAGGGATCCTACTATAATGTAAGATATACTCCTTAATTAAGTGATGTTGGAGTCTCTGGGTTCTGCGGCCTAGCATGTCTAGATCGATCTTGCATCTCTTCCCGATTCCACTCCAACCTACATGCACAGTCCAGGTGCAGCAAGACGGATGAAGCGACCTTCCGGGAGGCAGGTAGCCGCCACAGCATTACCCGACAGAGAAGCCGGTTTACCTCAGCCCTAAACTCCAAGAACACTATGCCCCAAAACCCTAAGACCCATGCTCTAGCTGACAGACGAGAAAGCCCGAAGTTCTTAACCCCGAAACACGAACCCAAAGACTCCAATATCCCTTAATTCAGGAATGTACCTTAAATCATATTAGGGATCTTACTATAATGTACGGTATATGCCTTAATTAAGGGATATCGGAGTCTTTGGGCACGAACCATACAAGGGCACATGTAGGCTGCGCTGTCCGTGTTCTGGAAGCCGCTCCAGGTAGGTTTGAGATTTGGGGTTTGGGGTTTAGGGTTTAGGGTTTAGGGTTTGGGATTAAACCGAAGACAGCTGCAACATACGGTTGATGATATAAACCCTGCATTACCCTTAACTTAAGGAATATACCATAATTCCCATACCCAAGACTCCAATATCCCTTAATTTAGGCATATACCGTAACTTATAGTAAGATCCCTAATATAATTTAAGGTATATTCCTTAATTAAGGGATATTGGAGTCTTTGGGTAGTTTAGGGTCCTTAAAGGCAATGCAGGATTTGTATCATCAACGATAGGTCTGATGTGTAAGGCTTGGCGGGAAAGTTTTGCAGAGAGGCGCTTTAGTTCGGAACTCGGGTTACACCGGCAGGGTTTGGAGCTTGGAGTTTATCAAAAGCAAAACTGAGCTTCGGATTGTGCCAAATGAGGACAAGCCGTGGAGAGTTTAGTGAGAGTGGATTTGGTAGCAGTAGAGCAGCTGCAGGAGAAGAAGGGCCACGTTTAGCGCAATTGTGGTTCATCTGAGAAGTTTGCGAGTGGTACGATCACTTCGAGGTGTCAGTGGCTCGCCAGTGGTGTTAGGCTTTGGTCTCCAGTGTGGAGACCCATGGGTGGATCGACCACTACTTCAGGGCTCCTTGCTATGGTTATAACAGGGGTCCTAAGGGTTCCTAGAAGGATACCGTCAGGGTTTGGGGTTTAGGGTTCAAGGTACCAGAATCCTGGGAGGATCTAACTTTTCTCAAGGGACTAAAGGAGGGACCCTTAAAGGGACCCTTTGGGTGATATAGGGGCTTTATTGGCTGTCCCTTCTAGGGTCCCTCCTATTGTCCCTTAATCTTCAGATCCTCCAAGAACCTTCTCTTCGGCAGGACCCAAAACTACTCAAACTCTTCCCGGACCCTTATGGACAACTCTTCTCGGACCCTAAACCCTAAAGCCTAAACCGTGGGACCCCTGAAAGGAACCCGAATGGAAGCCTTCACTTTTCAAAGGAACCCTGAAGGAAGCCCTAAGCCACTAAAGCCCTTCAGCTCTAAAACCCTAAAACCTAAACTAAACCCAAACCCTAAACCTTAAAATCCTAAAACCTTAAACCCTAAAACCATAAAACCATAAAGCCCTAAAACCTAAACCCTGAAACCCTAACCCAAAAAAACACAAAGCCCTAGAGCCCTAAAACCCTAAACCCTAAAGCCCTCTCTTGCGCAGAACCATCACTTCTGGTGCAGCAGTTTCGGGGCCTCGGCGCGGTGCCCAATGGATCTTTCAAGGGACTAAAGGAGGGACCCTTAAAGGGGCCCATGGGGTGATATAGGGTTTAGGGTTAGGGGCTATATGAGACCATATAAAGGGTGATATAGGGTATTTGGATTAGGGGTTCTTTCCGGGGGTCTCTCAATGGTAGTAAGCAGGGATATCCCTACCTTATTGGGCTTCACTACAAGGGGTTTATATGGGAGATCCCTGTCCCAAGTTTTGCTTATGTGCTTTCCCTATATCACCCTTAAATACCCCTTATATGGTCTCATAAAGCCCCTATATAACCCCAAGGGTCCCTTTAAGGGTCCCTTGTTTGGGGCCCGAGTAAGGCCGGCATTGCATTTGAAGGACTTTTGGAGGGTTTAGGGTTTAGGGGGTTTAGGGGTTTTGGGTTTAGGGTTTAGGGAAATAATGACCAATACTGTTTTGGGGGCTCCTTATTACAACTATAGTATGATGGGCCCCAAAACCCTATTCTGATTATAAAGGCCCCTATATTAGCTGATGGGATGCAGCATCATGGTCAGTAGCTTAGGGTTGTTTTGTAGTGTCAAGCTACCGAGTTTTTTCTGGGGAAGGCGAGGTTTGTGTAGGAATGTAAGTCAATGTTAGGAGGCGAAAAATTTGAATCGCATGGATGCGTTTCGTCTGGGGTCGCGTTGCTGTTTCTCGCGCGGACCTGGGATATCCTTGGTCTGTTGAGTCTTTCGGTGTTTCAGGTCCTGGCTATCCGGTGTAGGGCTTAGTCCCTAAACCCTAAACCCTAAACCTTAAATCCTAAACCTAAACCCTAAACCCTAAACCCTAAACCCTAAACCCAATGCACTGCCTGTCTTGTGGACTTGGAGTCTTTCACTGCAGTTTCTGGACCGCACGGGAGAACCCTACTCTAGAACCATTAATAATAGGATCCCTCTGCGTGTCTTAGTTGCGGGATTAGGTTAGGGCTTGGAGGTTAAGTCGATCCTTGTGACACTTTAGGGTGTAGGGCTTAATGCGCCTTCTAAAACCGGTAAAAAAAAATTCTCAAAACCGCATGAAATCTGTGTGGAGACCGTATAGGCCCTGTTTTCTGAAACCTGAGGTGACAGAGCAGGAGCAGCTCATGACGGACTATGAGCGTTTCGAGAAGATGCTCGAGAAGATGCACCTCCGGGCTTCAGGGCCATTTAGGGCTTTAACCTAGGGTTTCAAGTAAGAACCCTAAACCCTAAACCCTAAACCCTAAGCCCCTAAGATAGACCCGTGGATTCCAGGGAGCCTTAAGGGTGTATACAGTGTACCCAGAGACTCCAACATCCCTTAATTAAGGAATATGGGGGTTTCCAAAAATTAGGGTACCTTATTTTGGGGTCCTTATAATAAGGATCCTACTATTTAGGGTACTATATTAGGGTTCCCTATTTTCGGAAACCCCCATATACCTTAACTCATATTGGGGGTCCTATTTCTAATTTAAGGTAGCTTCCTGAATTAAGGGATATTGGAGTCCCTGTGGGTATATAGAACTAGCGCTTTCGGCTTCAGGTCTTTAGTGTTCTAGGAATTTTCGGCTTGAAATTTAAGGCTTAGGGCTTTAGGTTTTAGGGTTTAGGTTTTNNTTTAGGGTTTAGGGTTTAGCGGCGTTGAAGGACCTCGGGCGTCATAGTTTGAACGGGGATGTTCCAGTATTGCTGTACACTCAAAGGATCGTGGGACGTAGTAACTAGGAAAGAAATAAGGAGGCCATACCGATAACTACGTATAATCCCAAATGAGATACCTAAAACAGCCCTAGTCACTGAGTCCCATCATCAGCCAAGTGCTCTAGTATGATTGCATAGCGACTCTAGGAAAATAACCCCAACCCCTTTCCCAAACCCCACTAAGCCTAAACCCGAAGCAGTTATGAGAGGGGCCTAAATAACAAAACTCTTTTCGGGGGGGGGGGGGGGG